CACGGAAATGTCTGCGTCGCTCTGCTCGACTTTGCTGATTCTCGGTGTCTTCGTGTTTGTCTCTGCAGGTGAGGTTTATAAACCAAACGGTGTTTCCCTCTGAGATGAAGAGGAATAAACATCAGTCTGGTTTACATGTTACTTCCCAAACATTTAGTTTCAGAGTGTCTGTTTACATGTAGTTTCATATTGAATCAGTTTGTCTGTTTGTGTGTAAACGTCATGAGGTTCGGAGAAGTGAATTTACCCGCTTGGTTAGCGGTGCAGTTTCCAGCACAGAGACAAAGAAGTGTAATGTGTTGTAGTTTCAGGAGTCAGCATACAGCCAGAGGCCGATCTACAGAGGTGGAGTGGCATGTGCCACCTTAAAATGATCTCTTGCCACCTCTAGTGCCACAGATTATTTTAGGGTGGCACATGCTACCGCAGCGATTTCCTAATGTTGTAAACCTGCTCAACATTTGGCAACAAAGCCCTTTCTGATTCTGATTCTGATTCTCTGTAGATCTGTCCCAATGTTTTAAATGGTTGTACAAAAAAAACCCGTCAGAATCATTGTTTACATTTCAAGGCATTCTACAGATAATATGTGTAAAGAAATGCCTCTATATAAAGCTTTTTGTTCAGTGTATACAAACAGCTGTAGCTCCATAAAGGCAGCATGCAGAGACTCACAGTGTCTTATGATGAGAGGCTGCTTTCTCTCACACATTATGTTCACTTTCACTTATTTCACTGTATAAGTGTTTATATACTGTCATCCACAGTAATGTACTCATTTATTCTAGATACTGTTAGAGGCAGCATCCCTTCAACCCTCTGAGTTTCCGACTTAAAATTAAACTAACTTTGACCCTGTATAAGATTTGGGAGCTTTAACAAAAAAAGCACTACTCAAATTCTATGCAGCGAAAAATAAGTAGGTAAATAAAAATAAAATAACAGCACAATTGACTGTATGAAGACATCTTGTTAATGCAGAGTGATAATGATTATTACTGACTTTTGTGTCAGTAATAACAGATTAAGGTCAGATCTCTTTATTGGTGGGGTGCAGTGGTACTGTGTGATATTAACAGCATTTACTGTCATAATGATCACGTGTGTACTTTAGCATTAATAAAAAATAAAAATAATATTTTTTTGATTCCTTTTTTTTAATGTATATCGTGCACGGATGTATTATAATTTAATAGATGTGCATACACTCCTCACTCCATCTGGCTGCTGAAGTAGTGATCAGTTGCACTTTGACCTTTAACCTCTCTGCTCTGTTTTTTTTCTCTTTCAGAACAAAAAAGCATCACAGCTCAATCTGGACAGGACGTCACTCTGCCATGTCGAGCTCCAAATAACAACATCATCATAGGTGTAGAGTGGAACAGAGCTGACCTGGAGACACAATATGTGCTTTTTTACAGAGATAACCTGTTTGATCCAGATGAACAGTATCCATCTTTTAAGGACCGGGTGGGTCTGCAGGACAGACAGATGAAGGATGGAGACGTGTCTTTGATTCTGAAGAATGTGACGATTAATGACGCTGGAACATACGAGTGTCGTGTCAAGACAGAAAAAAAACGTAGAGAGAATCAATCAATTGTAATCAAAGAACCAATTTTAAATGAAAACGCATTCAGCAGCATCACACTGATTGTCGTACCTCCAGGTGAGTGAGTAGAGTTGAGTGTGTGTGTGATCAGAGGTGAAGCTGCTTCCTGGTTGTTGATGTTTGTTTCTAAAGATGTTGTTGATGAGACTTTGTAGAAAGCAGCTGGTCTGAGTGATGTGATCAGAGTGCAGTAGATAATGTCTGACAGCAGTTTGAAGAGGAAATGGATTCTGTTCTGTTCTTCACTCATCACCTACCTGACAGCTGACACCTCACACCTGTTTCTCACCTGCAGGTCAGCCAGGAGGAGACAACAAAGATGAAGGTGGAAGGAAGGAGGATGGATCTGTTGGACTGATCGTCGGTCTGTCAGTTTCTGCTTTGCTTCTTGTTGCTGCTGCTGCTGTTGGATTTTTAATCTACAGAAAACATAAACAGCAGAGTCAGGATCCATTGTAGCCTCCTGAGTAATTGCAGCATATTTGAAATGTCTTTAGTGTTTTTGATGATGATGATGTTTGGTAAGAGAAGCATTACTACGGTAAAATGCAGAATGGAGTTCAACTGCCCAATATCCAAATTAAAAAAAGAAATACAAGCAGGTTGAGAACCAGGAGCTGCTGATCTGTCAGCCTGAGACTGGCAACAATTAAAAAAATAACACAGATATTCTTTAAAATCTGTGGGTTTAGACTCTACATGATGACATCCTGCAAGAATAAACATTCATTTTATTCTCTAGGTTAATAAGATAAGATGCTGCCTATTAGATTAAGTTTAAGATTTTACAACATTTTTACATGTAATTTATTTCGACCTTTGAGCAGGTTTTTGTAAAACTATACATAATAATAATTGTTAGTTTTTAGCAGTAGTAAGATTACACTCTTACATCCTAAACCAAGTTTTATTTCATTATATTTTGCTATGAAAAGTGGAAGTAGGTGCAGCGATATACTGAAACAAGCACACATGTAAATGCAGCAGATAAGGTGAAACCAGAGTTTGTACAGTTCTAATAAGCAGAAAGTCTGTATTTAGTATGACTGCCTTTATTCTTCAGCACAGCCTGAACTCGCTCAGGCAGCTTTCCTGTATTTCAGTAGTCTTCAGGAATAGTTCTCCAGGATATTCAAAGCTTTTCTTTGGATGTTTCTGCCTTTTGTTCTCTGCTAAGATGATCCCACACTCCTTAATTAATGTTGCGCTCTGGGCTCTGGGGAGGCCGATGCATGACTCATAGTTTTCCACTGTGTGTTTTTCTCTCCAGTTATGCTTTTACTACATGGTCGATGGATATGGTTTAGATTTACTGCAAATGCAGTTTGTTTGGGATCATTGTTATGCTGAGTAATGAATTTAACTTCAGTCAAATACTTTCTTGATGGTATATTGCATCGTGGATCAAATTCTAATATACTGTAAACTCAGAGATTAAGCGGGTGTTAAAGACAGGGTGATTAGTTTATGTAAAATGTAGTTTGTTGTTGTTCTGGTTTATGTGCTAAAAATGGTTTTATTTGTGTATGTGTTAGACTTGTACATAGTTAAACATATATGGATCAAATAATGTTGAATCCTGGATATGGATTTGTAAGCAATGAAATTTGAAATAAGGGGGTGGGAACAGGAAAAGTGTAAACTTCATCCTACTCCTTTTCGAGCACACATATTCTGTAGACATAGATATTTACATGACAAGTTTCTTTTTTTTCTCTTGTTATTTCAATTATATTTGCATGTTTGAAATAAAATGATATCTATCTATAATCTTGTGTTTATTGAATCATAATTCCATCATTTTTAACAAGATCTCCAACACTACTGCCTGAAATGCAGCTCCAAACCTTGACAGACTCTCCATCCTGTTTTACAAGAGGTGTAGAGATGAATATTTAAACCAAAACTTTCAAATGTGATTAGACTTCAGCACGCAGTAAATGAATCGTCTGAAGGTCCAGATGCATCTCTTGTCCTCTGTCAGGTCTTTGCTGGGTTTGGGGCGATGGTGGCTCAGGAGTTGGGAGTTCGCCTTTAAATGGGAAGGTTGCTGGTTCGAGCCCCGGCTCGGACAGTCTCAGTCATTGTGTCCTTGGGCAAGACACTTCACCTGTTGCCTACTGGTGGTGGTCAGAGGGCCCGGTGGAGCCAGTGTCCGGCAGCTTCGCCTCTGTCAGTGCACCCCAGGGCAGCTGTGGCTACAATGTAGCTGCCATCACCAGTGTGTGTGAATGGGTGGATGACTGGATGTGTAAAGCGCTATATAAATACAGGCCATTTACCATTTTGTTTCTAGTTCTTAAGGACATGACTTTCAGAAACAGGCCTGCTGCATCTTCTTTTGTCCTCCTCTTGTTCATATTCCACAGTAATTTTAAGGACACACTTCACATGATGCCAAGATATACCAAGTTTTTGGGGATTCAATTGTCTAGTGCAAATATATTACTTTATATCTATGCAACTGTGCTATTTCTGGAAATAAATTGTGTGTTTTTGTGACTGGTACTAATAACAAAGTGCCCAAGTTGTCTGTTGTGTTTAGACACACACTGGTTCAGCAGTGGAGCTGCTTAAATGATTCATAGGTCACTGTTAAGTGTCTTTGCAAACACAGAAAAAAATATCTTTGAAATTGTTCAAGTAAGAAGAATTGGACTGAAAATGAGTGAAGATTTTTTGTGACAATCAAACAAATTCTCGTATAGAGATCAGCTGTTACAGAGTAATTACAGGCACAGAACACAAACACTGTGAAGCTCTGTGGATTATAGACGATGGATCATTAGTTGTATAATGTCCGGGATCAATTTGCTACCTGTAATTAAGTCATTATGAAATCAAACCAAAGAAAGAAATATTTTCCAAGTAGCTGCAGAGTCAGATGTTGCCTCTCTTATTACTAAAGTTTAAACCTTTGAGTCTGTTTGTTACTTTGAAAATGTCAAACGTCATTTACATATTGTTTATTTATTTTTTATGTGTGTTTGCTTGTTTATTGTTAATAAAGCTTTGCAAACATCGTTACTAAATATTTTAGTCTTCATTGAATGTCTATGTTGCTTTTTCTGAGCTGTTGAACCTGCGGATGCAGATTTTGTCTGAGCTGGAATCAGACAATAAAAAAAATAAAATAAAACCACTGATTTCTCAGGAAGAGCAAACGTTACCAAGAATAACATTCAAATAATCCTGATTAATGCAGTACACTGAGAGATGATTCTAAAGTTTACATTTAGGTCCAAATGTATTTGGATATTGACGTAAATTTTGTTTTTTGGTTTTTTGTTCTCAATGAAGCTGAAACAAGCCATCCTTAAGATTCGAACACCGAAAAAAAAAACATCTGATAAATTGCTAAAATATTAGGCGTTGCAAAATCTATCATACTGAGAAGGAAAGGTAGGTAGGTGTGTTGATATCCAAATCTACCATAAAGTGAAGACTGCATGGAAGTAAATAAAAAGGCTTCACTGAAAGTGAAAGTGGTGAAACCACTCACAAGCCTCAAGAACAGAATGGCTAAATTGGACTTTGCTAAAAAAAAAGAAAAAAAAACATGAAAAAAGCAAAGTTCTGGAAAGACATTCTTTGAACAGATGAAACCAAGATCAACCTCTATGATGGTAAGAAAAAGTATGGGGAAGGTGTGAAACAGTTAATGATCCAAAGCAAACCACATCAACTGTAAGACACGGCTGAGGCTGAGGGTTGGGCGTACAGTACATGGCTGTCAGTGGCACTGGGTCTCTAGTGTTTGCTGATGTGACACAGGACAGAAGCAGCTGTATGAATTCTGAGGTGTTCAGAGACATGCTGTCTGCTCAAATCCTTCTAAATCCAGTCACTTCGATTGGGCGGTGTTTCATAATACAGATGGATAACACAGTCAAAGCAACCCAGGAGTTTATTAAAGCAAAGAAGTGGAATATTCTTGAATGTTCAAGTCAGTCACCTTAACCCAACTGAGCGTTTCACTTGTTGAAGACTACATTTCAGACAGAAAGTCACACAAACAAACAGAAACTGAAATTGTACAGTAAAGGTTTGGGAAAGCATTAAAAGGGAGGAAACACAGCATCTGGTGCCATCCAGGAATTCAAGACTTCATTGTCAGCAAAGGATTTTCAACTAAGTATTAGAAATTAACATTTTATTTTAAGTTATTTAATTCGTCCAATTACTTTTGAGATCCTAAAATCAAAGGATTGTGTTCAAAAGTGCTTGATTTCCTCACATTTTTATGCAATCTTTCTGCTAAGCCCAGTGAATTAAAGCTGAAAGTCTGCATTTCAACTTCACATAAGTTGTACTGTATAAAGAAATCAAGATGGAGGATTGCTGACTGAGTCAAAATTTGCTTTGACGTTTCTGTGAATAAATTCAAGTAATGTTCCTCCCCTAATGCTTTACTCTATGATTGACTCTGTTTTTTTTTTAAAACAACATAAATCTTTTAACTGGGGAAACAAAAAACAAGTCAAACAGTGAAAGAGGATTTTCAGTGTTAGGTTTGACCTTTGACCTTGTGAAAAGACAACATTGAAAGTCCATCCCACTGCCTCAGGTTCATCAGACCATCCCTGCCCTTATGAGTGTTAGTTGGCTTGAAGTTGAGACTTTTAGCTGCTTAAAAATAATTTTAAAAATTAAAAAGGATTAAAAAGAGATAAAAGAAACTTTATGGAAAACACAAAACCCTCACTCACAGGTACATACCTGTACGCCCATCCCCCGGACACCAAGAACCACCAATGCACCAACGATGGAGGGCACAAGCCACCAGCAGGGAGTGTGGTCGGGGGACATAGGCCCCCACACACGGTGGGCCCTGAGATGTTCCCAGACAGGTGGAGTCTAAGACCCGACCTGACACATAGACAAACAGGCACACACAGATACAAACATGCATTCCCACCCTCATGCACACATATACAAATACTCGGCACTCACGCAATGTGGAAACAAACAGAAATGGACACTGTGCACACACTCACACTCCCCAAATATCCTCTATAGCCCAGGTCCAGGTACCTTCGTCCCCAGAGGAGCAATCTGCCCCTAGACCCAGGAGATGTTACCGTTTTTCCCTGGGGTGGAGTCAAGCAGACCGCCCCTGGTCCTGCAGCAGCAGAGAGGCCAAGCATCCCAGACCATGACCAGACAGCCAACTTTTCCTCCCAGCCCCCCGCCCCGATCATCTACTAGAACAGGTCATCTTGGTGGCTTGGGTGGCTGTAGCTCAGGTGGCAGAGCAGGTCAGCCACTAATCAGAAGGTCGGTGGTTCGATCCCTGCCTGCTCCAGTCTGTGTGCCTGTATCCTCGGGCAAGATACCAACCCCAAGTTCAGTTCCACCCTTAAATAAAAACCACTGCAGAAAAAAAGCACCTAAATGTATGTTGATGACACAAGATGTATAAAGCAGTCTGAATGCTCAAGTCGAAAACACTATATAAGAACCATTTACTAGAGTTGGTCATTACTCAGAAGTGCAACATTAATGCAGAACTTGAAACATATAAAGTCAGGTTACAGCCTGACTGCTCATCACTGCTTCTGTTACCTGTTGAAGTTCAGGGTCTGGCTGCTGGGTTGGGGTCATCATTCACTCAGCTTTAATGTCACTCTGGGTTATTGGCTAGCTTAGCGCTAGCATGTTGTCTGTGCAGGTGCTAGCAAAGAGCTGAAGTTGTGTTTGCAGCATAATGCAGTTGTTTCTGTCCTGGAAGCATTTTTTACCTCACCATCGGATACTTTTATGGAATAAAAATAAAAGTGACGTCCAGACTGCTGCACTATGTTGCTTATTCAGCACAGTAACTGAAATCAGCTGATTGCAACCAAAGCACATAAAGTGTGTTTGTTTGTTTGATGTTTCTGACTTGCGTAGAGAAACCTAAGGAACCTTTGTAACACAAATCATGACAGAATTGTAAATGTAATGTGATTATTAAATTTAAAGTATTGAGTTACTGACAAATATATTGTGATCACAGGATACTTTGCAGGTGTTGTGTTGATCAGCGGAGTACAGACTGTAAGCTGAAAGAACTTTTTCTGCTGAATGTGATTATTAAATATATTCACAGTACTCTGTCGACACACTGTTTATCACTCTACACAGTTTCATCATCATCTTAAGAACATATGTAAGTGAAGAGAATTTTTATCCACAGTTACATTAAATGCAAAAGCTCAACATGTTAATTCTCTAAAAAGCTGTGGAAGCATCACTGATGATCTCCTTGTATCCATGTTAGTATTTAAAGTCCATCATCTCCCTCTAGTGGCCATATATAAACCATGTGTGAGGATGGTGTTCATGTAAAATGTGAATCATAGTGTTCCAGTCAGTCATCAGTGTGTCTCTGCACAGCTGTAATTAAAATGTGTTCAGAGGGCCTCAGTGTCTGAATGGTTCCAGTTCAGCTCCATAACAGCAGCGTCCCTGGTTTGATTCCTGTGTTTCAGCTCATATCTGCCTCTCTCACTGAGGGGGACGTCCACACACACACTGACCTCACTGTGTTTGAACCAATAGAAAGCTGGTGCTCAGAGGAAGAGGGCGGGCTTTACTTGGTGTCAGTGACAGAAATGAAAAAAAGCTCAAATGAGTGAGAAGGACGATGAAGGAAACATCTGTGCTGTGTCTGCTCTGTAAGTAGAATCTCTGTGTTTGTTTGAATTATTGTACTTCATTTAACTTTCACTTGTAATTCACTCCTTATATGAACACAGCTGGACAGCAGGCA